TCCCACTTTTTTCACTGTCTCTCCACAACCTTACCAACACCAATTTGCCAGGAAAGTCACGCAAGCCAAATAAAATATTCCAAACGTGGACATGCTACACATGAGGAGGTAAAAGGATAACCACCTCCTCCTCACACAACACTTCCATTCACTTTCTAAGAGGACTGCCCTTTTTTGCCACCATAGCAAATTGCACATTCATTTCTAATTTTGGGCAAGTATTACTCAGCAATTTCCCCTTTATTATTTGGCTGCTCTGTGGCCAAATCAGAAGTTTCTATTTTTCCACCACTAAATGTCCCTGGGTAATTTACTATTTATATTTCATACTTTTCAAAATCAATGGTTCCCCAACCACTTCAGGCCGCCTGACCCGTAACAACACTCTCGTTTTTCTTTCCTTTCTTTTTTTTCTTTAGGCAATCATGCACTCTCACCACACTTCTAACTAAAAGAAACATAAACACAAAGGTTTAGCAGATGGACTAGAGATTCCTTTTTAGAGGGTCCCAGGGGACAACTTGAATTTCCTCCTATAGATCAAGATACTTGATCTATGTTTATTTCTGAGGGTTAATGTTAATTCTGTGCATCACCTGTCATATTTATCTTCCCAAATATAAATCCTTGTTCAAAGGAAGTCTTGACTTTCCTTCACAAGATTCTCGTGAAGCCAAACAGCACTGCTCACTGTCATCATCTTCCGCTTCAGAGTATTATTTCCAGGTCTCAACTCCAGTAACAACATTTACTCAAGTTCAATTTTAATTCATTTTGAGTGTAGTATTTTCTGTTGCGCATCCAGTACTTAAATATAATTATAAACAATGCAGATAGCTACACAGCTAAAACAGTCTGACACTTTCCATTAATAAGACTACTTTCAGGTGCATATAAACTTTGCCAAACTTCAAGCATTTAGGCTGAAATTTTCCAGGCCATATGTATGCCTGAGGCTGAAATTCTCTGGAAAATTCAGCAGAAACAGTTCAGCTTGTCTTAGAATGAGGTCACAGAAGAATACATCGTTTATATTCTTACATAAAACACTTCAAAATACCTCTTGAATACCAGAGGGGCAGAGAATTTTAATTTGCCAGTGTGACACTGGATGTTTAGGAAGGCGACAGGAGAGCACCCGAATGTCACCAGGCCATGAGGAGCAGGGGACGAAGAGCTGCACAGTGAGACTTCATAAGGGGACTTACAAGGTGTACAGAGGCAGCCTCAAATTTGCCAGACAAAGGGAGAGGGACAATGTGTTAAAAAAAGCACCAGAGACAGAAGTGAGGCATGAAGAGTTGAAAGGAAGAGGAGGAAACAAGGTCAGGAGGTGACATGGATACAGGCTGAAGAGTCTCTGTCCTTTGGACTAGTGGCCTCCAAGCAGTGGAGGGTTTTTATTGCATGTATTAATAGAGTGAGCCTCACTGCCACTTTATCCTCCCTTCCCTTCACCTCACCAGCCTGCCATCCCCTGGCTTCTCCTTGTCCTCTCCAGGTCAGCTGCTCCTT